GCACCAAACCGCAGGTCGGCCTGAGGGATCTTTATCCAGGTATCTCTCCCCAGCCGTGAAAAGCTCCAATCTCACGGGTGTTCGCTCGACATGTGTGGTAGTGAAGAGCATGTCTGAAATCAGTCTCATAGGTGAAGATATCACAGGCAAGAGGAGGGAAAGTTTGCGCGCGGTGTGCCCTGGTTGCTAGGGTACTGCTGCGGCGTTCGGCTGGTTTTATTGAAAAACAGAAGCGGAAAAACACCTATGACATCACTCGCCTATTAGAACTCTTCTCGAGGATAACAAATTTCACGCCACCACGTTCGTACTGTCACCACTGCCTGAATTCGAATTCTAGAACCTCCCGATCAATAATGCGGCACCCTCCTGGTCGCTGAACTATCACTGCTGAATTATCGCAGAACTATCGCAGCCCTATGTAACTAATAGCCTGCTCTTAACACCCACTTCGCAGGAGATATTACCCGTTCTCATTTTCTGCCCACGTGTCTTGTTCCTCACTCTCCCCAATTGCCGTGGATTTATCCCTTCGCTATGTACTGATTTTTCAAAGCCTTATCACCGGCTGACTTTAGCTTAGAGCCAGCGTTGCCCTTGTGTCTATAGAGTCTGTAACCGGAAGATCCTACTTTTCGAAACTAGTTATACAGATACTTCAATGCCGGTGACTTGGAAGATAATTCTTCTTCATGGTTTCCGCTTCCCAATCCCCAGATCCGTACTTCCCTGAACCCGCTTCACGACCTGACCATGCTTGTCGGTTCCTGACTCATTGCTCCTTCTTTCCAATTCCCGTTTCTAGGTTCGAACTTCTCGGTCCGCTTCTTATTCCACGCTACGAGGTACCCGCTTCCAACTTGGTATTTCCCTTCACCCGCATCACTGACGCCGCTTCGCTCGCCCCGCTTCGCTCACCCCGCTTCGCTCACACCACTTCTCGGTCCCCACTTCATGGTCTCCGCGTCCCAATTCCCGCTTCATACTCCTGTCTTTCGATTCCCGCTTCTAAGTTCCCGCTTCTACGTCCACGCTACTAGATCTCTGCTTCCAGATCCGTGCTTCCCGGAACCCGCTACGCTCGACCCGCTTCCCGATCCCTACTTCATGGTCTCCGCTTCCCAATCGCCGCTTCGCTGACCCCGCCTCACAATTCCCCCCCCCAATCAATTTCATTTCCCCTCTTCTAGCTTCGATTCCTCCCTCCTAAGTTCCCACTTCCTCCTCTCTAACGCTCATTTCCCCTCCCCTTCCCGCCTTCTCCCCACTCCCCATCCCGTATCCACACGGCCTGACCATCGTCTCTCCCCCTCTCCCCATCGTTGCCACCGCCACCACTAATATATCCGACGCTTGGCTCGGTTTCTCGCTACTCGCTGCTCCCCGCCCCTCCCCCATCCCACAAACCCTCGCCGCACCCGCTGTCACCGCCTCCGTTGCCTCGTCCTGCACCACCCCACCAAAACCCCCCGCGCGCCGGGCCCGCTACAAATAAGTGGATAAACGGCGGCATTACAAGAATTACAAGGAATCCGACGGCCCCAAGTTATGGCGGCTATAATTCCCAGCTCGCGCTCTGTCAGGGAGAGAAACATACGCGCCACGCGGAGAGATCGAGAGAGAGAGAGAGAGAGAGAGAGGGGAAGGGAAAAGGGGGAGAAGAACGAGATAGAAGGGGGAAATGGAAATGATACTGCGCCGTGACAAAAGATAGAGGCACACGGTGAAAGACTAAAGAGATGTGTCAGATTCGTATCATTACGTAGGCCTCTCATTAAACGGTTGAAGTGAAATATTAATTGCAGGTATTTTGTATTTGGGAACATGCGAGATTTACGTAGGGGTTATCAATTTTTTCAGAAAATCATCGATGTCGTAATATCAATTTATTAAAGGCGATGTTTTGTAACATCGATGTTTTATGGTCGATTTTTTTTTAGTGTTGGTTTTATTTTTAATTAACAGTAATAAAAACTCAATAATTTTCACAAATGAGTAACTTGCACCTTTTTTTAGGGGAAGGGTGAGAGTCGTCTACCCATTCTTAATAAATTAGTGTAAAGAGTCATTCCTGCCTCTAGAAATTTCTATAAAACAGATATAAGCAAAAATAGAACTTCGGATAGATATCAGAAAAAAAGAATAAAATTCTCACCAGGCCTTCTTAAAGTATCGTCTATTCAGAATTATTATTCCCTGAGAAATAATGTTTTAATATTTTAAAATTCCATTGGTTCGAAATGTACAAGTACAAGAGACAGGGAGAGAGAAGGAGAGGTAAAGAGAGGCAGTTCCAATGGTAACCGCTATTGTACATAAATTCTTAATGAACCTCTATGATATTTTGAAGAAGAAGAAGAAGAAATGCAAAAAATTTAAACACAAATAAAATGGAAATAAAAAGTGTTTTTTTCCTTGGAAGAAACGAGAGACATAATGACAACTGACATTACGAATAATGTTCAAACGAACTGAAAAAAAAATAATATAAACACCAATAAAATAAAAGAAAAACGTGTCTCTTTCTTTGTAATAAATGAGAGACACAATGACAACCGTCAGTACATATAAAATCTAAACAAACCTCGATGATTGTTTAATAAACTAAACAGGAAAACAAATATAGTGCGATCGAAAATAAACTTTTGCGAAGAAACTCACTTCAACCTTCAAGTTTTTATTCCTTCACACCGCGCCCCGTTAGACGATATTTTTTTAATAAGAAAAATTACGATGTAGTACGCGAAGTAAATGAAAGTCTGGACCGAAGGGAGAGTGACAGAGAGAAAGAGAAATAGAGTGTGTTGAGAGAGAGAGAGAGAGAAAGAGAGAGTGATAGAGAGAAAGAGAAATAGAGTGTGTTGAGAGAGAGAGAAAGAGAAATAGAGTGTTAGAAAGAGAAAGAGAGAGAAAGAGAGAGAGAAAGAGAGAGAGAGAGAAAAAGAGAGAAAGAGAGAGAGAGAGAAAGAGAGAGAAAGAGAAATAGTGTGTTAGAAAGAGAGAGAGAAAGAGAGAGAGAAAGAGAGAGAGAAAGAGAGAGAAAGAGAGAGAGAAAGAAATAGAGTGTATTGAGAGAGAGAGAGAGGGGGGATTGGGGAGTGGGAGAGACCGGGCGCCGCGCGTATTGTAATGCAGAGTGGAAGGGGGCCGGTGTGGAGGGGGAGGGGCGGTCCAATTACAGCCCTCTCACTTCTAATTAATTCCCCGTTCGGGGCCGCATTGCCAACATAGCGCGCCTGGCGGCCGACGCCGTGCCTCACGCACGCACGCGCACGCGTTATTAATTATTAAACAGCGCGTGTCCGAAGGCGGCGAAGGCGATGCCCATGTGCAGCGGTGAGGCACAGTTTTCTGTACACTCTCTATAACTCGGAACATCCATAATTCGAACGGTCGTCAATCGAACTTCCATAGTTCAAACATCTTTAAATCAAACCCCCATAGCTCGAATATGCATCTTTAAATCAAACAACCGTTACTCGACATCCGTAATTCCAATGGTCGTAACTCGAACGTCCATAGCTCAAACATCTTTAAATCAAACATCCATAGCTTGAATATGCATCATTAAATCAAACATCCGTTACTCAAATATCCGTAATTCGAACAGTCGTAACACGAATATGCGTAAATAGAACTTCCATAGCTCAAATATCTTTCAATCAAACATCCATAGCTCGAATATGCATCTTTAAATCAAACATCCATTCCTCGAAAATCCGTAAATTGAACAACCACAACTCAAACAGCTTCAACTCCAATATCCATACTTCAAACATGCATAAATCTACAGATCTTATCGGTGTGACACAGTTTTCTGTGGACTCTCCATAACACGAACCGTCGTAACTCGAACATTTGTAATTCGAACGGTCGCAACTCGATTATGCGTAAATCGAACTTTCATAGCTCAAACATTTTTAAATCAAACATCCGCAGCTCAAACATGCATAAATCGGACATCCATATCCCGGACACCCATAACTTGGACAATTGTAACTCGAACATCAACGACTACTCGTACATTTTCAACTCGATCATCCATTGCTTGGACATCCATTACTCAAACATTCATAATTCGAAATTCATGACTTGTAACTAATCCCTGTAACTCGAACATCCATTTCCTTTATATACATTACTCGTATATCTGTATTCCTACATCCGTAATACGAGGATCCGCAACTGCGAAAAGTCGTAACTCGTACATCTATAACTCGAATACTCATAAATCAAATACTCGTAACTCGAACTTCCATAACTGAAATATCTGTATCTTGAAATGTTTGATAGTCTGAATTCTTTGTCGGAGTTCAGACCTTCGATTGTATGAATTGAGGTGGTGCAATGTTTTCGATATACATGCGTCGGTATTAATAAACAATAACATCATGATAAATCAAATTTTACATTTTAATTCGTTGATAACTCTAACTCCTCGATAAATGAAAATCCAATCTCTAGTTAATTCCTATTTTCATACCTAAATCATATTTCCGTGTTTACTTACCACTACAGATCATATTCTAGGTGAATCAGTGGCATTATATCTTATAAAGAATAAGTTCTAGAAAACGGACAACATAAAAGTGTAACAAATGGACTGTATGGAAAACAGAAAATTCCAAATATATTGTTTAATGACATTCGGTACTTATTCTCCATGACGATTTTAATGAGAGGTTTCCAAATTGTGAAACCACAGATTCAATGAAAACAGTTAAATACCTTTCTAAAAATCTATTTTTCTATTTACCAAAATATGTACAGTTCATGGAAGGTGGGGTGCTCCATAGCTGGATATCCTCCAATCTATATGAAAAACACTTGATAAATGAGAAAGTAATCACATTTATTCTCACAGAACTCTTTAACGAAAATGATTTGTGTCAGGAATTTCTCAGATTTGTCTACTTGTCAAACCACGTTTGTATTCGTAAGACTAACCCATAAGTAGTAAGTATTTTTTAACCAGACAATTTAAGGAACTGTTATTGCATATGGTGAAGGAGATATCCAAGTCATCTGGCAACCGTGTAAGGTTTTTAACATAATTTTATGTATTAATTGTATCGTTAAAGTTATACCCTTTATTCTATTTATTAATTTTATGATTAAAGTTAACTTTTTATCTTTTTATATTTTATTCATATACGAGTAAAATATGTCGCACATCCAATGTAAATGTATTTGGGTTTCCCTCTTATTCTAGGCTGCACACGATGATGTATAAACACATTATTTTCCTCTATAAATGGAAATTATTTACCTCCTACCTCTATAAATGGAAATCCTGCCTGTAGGATACTTTACTTGGAGATATCTAAGTTCCACAATATCTACTTTATGAACTCGCATGAATTCTTAACACGGGGTGTATGTTTCTTTGATTCCGTGAGTCTGTGACTACAAAGAAATATACCATAATTTCTAGGAGTATTAGTAGTACTTGTGCTTGGAAGCCTTATGCACGGTAGCTTTGCCTTCAAAGGAGCTTAACTGACAATCCTGAGTTAGATCAGTAAAAGCTTGAAACGGTTTAGTGACAACAAGCGCTTAACACTACAGTATCTACAGTTCGTACTTTCCACGTAAGTTACCCAACATCGCATCAGTACGAATGGCGAATTTCTGGCCTTCCAGGAAGAACACGCGATGGGCGTTAATTACATAGTAATCCCAACATAACTCTCAACTCCGAGACAGTTGCAGTGTTTGCTTCTGCAAAGGTATACTCGTTTGCCCACCAGCCTCCCCTCCGCCAGGGGAGGGTTGGCAGCACTGCCTCCATCCACCTGGTCGGTTCGTCTTCGTACTCCATTCGTCTTCCCTCGCGGCCTGTCACGCGACGCGGAGAGCAAAATTCCACTAGTGGTTGGCATCCCTGTAGCTGGGAATGTGGCCGAAATTAAGCGTGATGAGATGCGCGTGGCTTATAACGAGGAGAGCTTGAATGTATACCCGTTGTTATGAGGGAATTTTAAAACCCCTTGAATGTTTGCAAGTCCACAAACCTGCAGCGTGACTAACCAAGCCTAGTCAGTCAATAAGATACTGAGGTGTCTCAGGGCAACTGTTTGTTAGCGTTGCATCTGACAGGCAGGTCCTTGCGTTGGAGTCTCGAAGGCGGCTAAATTTCGACACCCACAATCACTAGATAGCTTGGTTGAATTTAGCCGCTGTTTGGAGGCTGACTGCTCTAATCGGTACTTTTCTGTGGTTTTTCTGATCACATTAAAGTGAATTAGTTAACAAGTGATCACATCAAAGTGAAAGAAGTATAAACGGTCCATGGACTGCGCGTGATTTCTACATCCTCACACGTTGCACGCTTTCACATACACACACACATATGCACACACTCAAGCACACCAGTCGGTTTCCTGACAATGACCAGCAGTTCTCCCGATTGAGTGGTGCCCTGCTGTGATAGATACCTGTATGTAGCTCGGAATTTTCTTCTTTTTACTTTCTTGCATTCTATTTACGAAATATGGAAGAAGTAATGTAATACTGGAACAAAAACGGCGGTTTTCGTCTGATCAAATCGTATTTTAGGTCTTTGATATCGAAGAAGAGGATAATTTTTGTTCCTATATGTAGTATATTACTTATATATACCAATATGTATTATACTACCTGTCTCATTATATTTATCTTTATGTACGTTTTTTATAGTTTGAATCAATTTCATTGTAATATGTGATTGATGTTTTGTGTAACTGATGATACATGTATTTAACACATTTATTCATTTGTTTAATAGTATTGTTTTATGTGTTTCATGTTTCCGTGTGTTTTATGTAGTTTGTTTCTTGTAACGTATTACTTCAAAATATTAAAAATCTGTTTTACTTCTTTTTTCTTGTGTATACAGAAAAAAAGAACAGTTGCAGTATACCAGATCCATGATACTGTAACAAGGGAATTTATTACAGTACCATGGATCTGGTATACTGCAACTGTTCTTTTTTGCGTGTTTAACTCTAGAATCTATCGTTGACAGTTCGCTTCTGTCCTTATGTTGCAGGCAACAGCTTCCTATGCGACTGCCGCCTGACATGGATGTACACGCTCCGCAACGAAACAACGAACGAGCAAGTGCGCAACGCCTTGGAAGAGCTGACTTGCATCCTCACGGAACCTCTCCTGTACCTGGAAGGCAGCTCCACCCTGGCCTCGGACGACCTGGGCACGGAGGAGCCGGAGTTCGTTAAAGACGCGCCCGCCCCGGTCGCCAACCCTGGCTCCGACGAGGAGTACGACGAGGACGAGTCGGGCTCCCCGTCTCCTTCGGAACCCCGCAAACACCTGTTCGACATCCCGCCCAGCCTCCTGCCCTGCCCGGAGGAGCTCACCGGGTCCGCACGCGGAACGGCGCGGCCCAACACCGTCGAGGATTACGAGTTCGGGCTGGAGCTCAACGCCAAGATGTCCGCCGGGCCCGCCGCGCGCGCACTCTCGGCCGCCATCTTGTGCGTGGCGTCCGCCATTTTGCTGGCCCTGGGCACGTGAAGCACGATGCCGGGCCGTGGAAAGTCATCTCGCGACGAGTAAAAATTTGAGAGAGAGAAAAAAAGGGAAGTAAAATCTTTTTTAGGTCGTGGTTGAATGAAAGATTTGTTTTCAATGCAATATTATTCATTGTCGTTCGTGATTGTTTTTACGGAAATATTGTATCGTTTAAATCTATAATTTGTTTGTTTTCTTTTCGCGAAATTGTGATCAGCAAGTATTTATAAAGAAGATAATAACGAACAATAAAAATAATTAGTGATTTGTTGTCTTTTTTCTTGCGATAAACGAATATTTTTCTCGAAATTTTTGCCTCTGCTTTAATCGTCTATGTATGAGTCACGTGTTTAATGTGTGCATGAGTGTGATTACAAAAGTCGTGTGTAAGTTGAAACAAAAAATATCTTAAGGTTTTTTGCTTTTTAACAGAGAAAAAAGCATGGGTATTCAATAATAACTGATACTATTGATAATATTATTGGCGGTGGTTTTTCTGAAAAGAAAGATACCGCCGTCTTTGTAAATGTTATATTAAGATAAGCGTGCGTCAACCTACAATAGGTAACTGTTCGTTAGATAAGCGTCTCTCTCATACTTTCACCAATGTTACCAACTTGTATATGGTTAAAAAAGCCAACGTTTGTGTAAACGTAATTCCGAAACCCCTCTAGAACTCCACAACCCAACATGTACAGAACCGCGTTATTTATCAGATTCATCCCTTCACGCATGATGTAGAATCTATATGTACAATATCTTCTTGATTCTGAACCAAAAAAAATGAAATAAATCTTATCGCTACAGAATGGAAACATGTTGAGTAAATAAAATATACGTGAATCTATTTTTAAAAATATAAGAGAAGATTGAAGTTCTTGGACTCGTCCAAGGGAATGTTGCAATATCCATGTACATCAGAGTACTACAGATATATCTACTTTATAATACATAATTATTCATCCCGAAATGCCTTTTTGAACTACATAAATGCAGAACTATTTAGAAACTGTTTTAACATTGAAAATTTTTGGCTGTACGTTCTGTTGGGGTTCGTATTTCTTAACTATTGGTTTGCACACATTTGCATGATTAATTCGCAAAATTTTATCCTGAAATAATGCACATTTGGCACCATATTTGACCCTCATTAATAATTATCGTGTGTTTGTCTCAGAAGATCACTTACAGAGTCGATGTAAAAACAGATGAACATCGCTCACAAAGTGTGACGCAATAATTGCTTATCCGTATTTGTTCTAGCACTTCTTCAGTATCTACTCTTAAATATTTTGTACATAACGTAGTTGCTAATTTTAATTACAATAAGAATTTGAAGCAGTATTTTCCGTATCTATAATGTAATTGAAAGTAATTGTAAGGTGTATATGTGCCTCTTCAGTATTGACGACTTCATATTTCCGTAAATATGTTTTAATTTTTCTGTAAAACTCAGAAGTAAAGAATTTTATGGATGACAATTTATATTTTAGTTTTATCCTCGAAATCAACAGTGGAAGTCATTCTGGCCAGGCACATATAATGCTGCGTATTTGCGCTATATCTGGTATTTTTTTGTAAAATGAAAAAATAATACTGATTTAGAAAGCATTGATTTTTTTTCATTGTACGAAAACACGATTTGAATATTGCGTCATCAATAAAGTGATTTTGGTTTTATTAATTGTGTGAAAACATATGTGTTGCCACTTTCCCTTTATTTAATTATATCCCAAAATTCGATTTTATTAGAAGAAGAAGAAGAAAGAAAGAAGAAGAAGAAGAAATAGGAAAATCAAAATAAAATCATTAGCTCTTGAATTTACGGCCACACTATTAATTCTAGGAATGTTTCATGGTTATTTTTGTAAGGTCATTCAACGAGAAAGGTCTTTTTTTAGTTCGCCAAGTATTTGTGACTCGTTAGGGAAAGCCATAAAGCACTGTCTTTGTGAAGGTATATTGTAACTGATTACTTCCTAAATTCTGTAAATATTTTCATATTTTCTTGAGGGAAAAGTTTTACGTTTTTACGCATATTTCATATAGTTTCTGTTATTTACAGAAACTTTAAAATAAAATACAAAATTTGTGCATAATTTCTTGTACAATTTAGATCTTTAATTGTATGTATATAGACCCCACAGAATCGTATACATGTTGTATTGTTTGTAGGTAGAGAAAATGGAAGACAACATTGATATTTAAGTATATGTGTAGAAATAGGGTAGATTTAAACATAATACATGACGTAATTAGGAAATTCTTTGAACCTGTTTCACTAACTTACCACATCTCTATGTGAGTTAACAGTTTTTGTCTGTTCGGTGTAGTGAATGTTATGATCGTTACTAAAATCATGAAGCTCAAACCTATGTACACTAATTCTGTGGTGGAAATTCTTTCCTTTTGCTTGGTTTGTTTACATCAATTTGTTCACAAAAAACCAGTTTTTAAATTTTGTAATATTTCAAACAAAAAAATTTAAAAATTATGCCTGAGTAAATTTTTCTAGACGTGACCAAATCCAAAAATATCATAATATAAACCGTCGAAAAACCCCTGGTCAAACGATAAGAAAAAAAGAAACGAGAAACACATTCGAGTGCAAAATGGTTAGTTACAATAAATTTAACTCTCGAAGCTATCCACGAGATGAGTAGAAAGTTTCCAGCGCTGAAAGTAGCTAAAACACTTTAAAAAGCTTTTTGCAAGACATCAGATTGCAGATTGAATTACTTTGCCTGAAGGTCACATTTACATTTGTTTTTCAAGAAACACCAAATGCTTTGAATCAATAATAAACGATATTGGTTTCTACCAAAATCGAAAATTCAAAGAGAATTACATGTAGACTCCATTAAAAATCATATATTGATAATATCACAAAAAATTCACTTCACTTAAGTTTTTTCCTCTAACTCAAAAATTCAATTTAGGCCGATATGTTGTGATCCCTAGTAGAATGAATTCCAAATTTCCAAAAGATAAATTCCGTCAACCTTAATTATTAGTGTTATTAATATTGATACCTAGAGAAATAATTTAACTAAAATTAAAATCTTCCAAATTAAATAACAATTTTGAACTTCAAAAATTAGCGATGGTTTAATGATTTTACAATTATAAAAAGAAAAACAAGCAATATAAAATCACCCCTTTCATTTCATCACTCTATTTCAATAAATTATTTCCATGAGACACCAGATCGAAAAGACACGTTATTCATCTGTTCGTCAAGAGTGACGAAAGATGCACAGCAATGAACGAAAAACACACACATCTAATAATTGCATCACATAAACACATTGCATCTAATAATATTAACGGTCAAATACTCATACTTCTGGAATTTTAAGTGAAGGTCTCATAATAAATTGCTTTGAGAAATTTACCGTCATTCAAAAAAACTGAATTCTTTTTTAACACCATTGGTATGAATATCAGTCCGAAAGAGTGGTGTTTACCTGCAAACACCACGACAGAGGACGTCCACGGAAGTAATTTATAGAAGCTCCATGGAGCTTAGGGAATGGGCGGCGGAGGCGCCGGGAGAGATAAAATTGTCGGAACAAAGGCAATTAATTCATCCGGCGAGAACCAGCAAACGAGAGGGAAAATCGATAGATCGATTAAAAGCGGGTGAGACGGGAGGGGTTTACACCCGAAAGCAGAAACCAAATTACGTGGGATCGTCCATAACTGCAGCTCGGAACTCTGGTCTTAAAAGTGTCCTCTTTAGGCATCTTAAAGTAAGCCCTTTAAGTTTAATATATCCCGATAAACATACTGCATTAATTGATAAGAGAATACATTTTTCACAAGAATTTTATTTTATGTTAAGTGGTTTTAATAAACTTTTGAATAGAAAATATTAATAAGCTATCGATTTCAGTATGATTTCAGTATTTCAACCTTTCTAGTTTATTGTCCACAGTTTGAATTACCGAAACTAAAAGACCAAAACGCAGACACAGCATACTTTCCCTTAGGTCTCTTAAAACAAGCCCACAAAAGATTAAAAGTGTCCCTTAAATACGTCGACATGAAAATACATTTTTCACATTAATTATATTTGTACATGAAGTTGTTTTATTCAACATTTGAATATAGAATATTGATATGCTAGAGACTTCAATTTTTTGGGGCTTATTATCTCTTTCTAGTTTATTCTACATAGTTTGGATTATACCGAACAGAAAGACCAAATTGAAGACACATAGTACTTTTATTTAAGTCACTTAAAATAAGGTCTCAAAAAATGAAAACAGTTCCATAAATATGGACATGAATATCCATAAATATCATGAAGATACATTTTTAGACAGCCACTACTAAAAGTGGTTCTTTCAAGGCATGCATAGAGTGATATTAGTTTAATTTTCAGCACATGTACTAAGAGAGAGGTGACGTTCAAGTGTTCAAATAAACATGTGAATGCAACAAAGGAAACAAATAATTTCATCTAACCGCATCAGCTACTATTAACCCTACTTTATCATTACGTAACTTACATACTTAAATAAAAATAAAATGAAAGTCTGACTAAACACTGTGTGGCATGCCTGAAAAATAGTGTATGACGCATGTGGTAAATGTGATTTTATTTTTCTAATAGGTTTGCGCCTTTTGGCCTGTCGCCTTCGTGACTCAAAATTTACATTGTAAGCTGTTTTATTAAACATTTTAATATAAAATATTAATAAGCCTCAGATTTCAGTATGATTTTCGGTGCTTTCTAATATATTCTTCACAGTATGAATTACACCGAACACAAAGACCAAAACACAGACACCGACACGAAACAATGAGACGACGCATATATGAAAATGCGGAAGGTTATTTACAATAAATGAAATGCCCAACTGTATTCTGTTGCTAAAGCTTTTATATTGGTTGAAACTATATTTCAAACTCTTGAATTTTTTTGCGTTATACCAAGCTTTTCTCTAATAAAATTAATGAACATTTTAATTCTTGTTTCACTAATGGCTTTATTTTTCTTTTCAAAACTGGCTGCCTTGAATATTACAGATATCAAATACATCTGTAACATGAAAATTTTCAGTGAAATAATTTTGAGTAAATCCAACAAGAAAATTGTCGTTGGTGTGCTTAAGACAACCGCATTTGAAGTGACAGAAAAAAGAGAAGAGGTTGTTGGTGGTGTTGATATGTTCAGCATATTAAAGAAAATGATAGTAAATTAATTTATAAACTTACTAATAAATCTAATTATTTAATTTACAACTTTTTTTATTATTTACTGAGCCATAGATTGTATTTGAACATTTTTTCGATATTTCTTGAGATTCCTGGCAATTGTAATTGACAAGAGATGTGATTAAAACCAAAGTGGTCATGCTTTCTGGCGTCTTTAAATGTATGCAGTTGACTTTAAATGTGTTCATCAAACAAAAGTATATTTTTCAAACAGGTTAATGAAGAGTTGTGATTAAGCTATTTTCCTGGGTATACACAAACTTGTTACGAAACTGATATGCTATTGGTGAATGTTGTGCAGTTCAATTATATTTCACAAATTCCTGATAATGTTCTGTTTGTGTTGATGTATATAGCTGATTATGCTGTAAAAAAAGAACTCTCTCCCGAAAACTTATATTTGCAAATAATTATTACAGGACTATAGAAATGTTTAAATTTTGTAATATATGCAATCGTGGAAAATGATCATCCTCACAGAAAATTATTTTTAGACAATAGTTTTGACTTGATTTATGATGCAACGTAACTTGGAAATGTATTCAAAAATACATTTTATAAAGTAGATAAAACACTAATACCTCATGCCACCAGTGGATTTGTTCATTCATTCATTCATACATTTTCTCATAAATGGCTTAAAATTTTTTCTTCACACTTTTTAAACGGATAGTGATAACTTTACCTCACAATAAGGAGTGCAATTATCTTCTACCAGCGAGACAATCTACTGCCCGGGCAAGCTCTTAAGTTTCCGACCGAACTCCTGACATGTGTGGTAGGATAGTGCACCAGACAGCGACTGAAATCGATCTAGCTGACAAGCAAGTGACGACAATCTTGCCACCGTCGTGACTCGAATGTGGAACCTCCCGGTCTGCGATCCTACAATGAGATGAGTTGATACCCTAAGCCACCTCTACAGGTTTCAATATGTCTAAATTTGTCTATTCCAAACATACACTTTTTTATTACCGTACCCATGATTTATTTTTACTCAATTCGTTAAAAAACAGGTGTTTCTACGAACCTGCTGAAATGTTTTTCGTGTTGTCCTTTACCAAGAAAACGGTTAACTTATTTCCACCAAATCGTTCCTCCCTGTTCTGCAGAAAAAATGGTGTTGGTAATGAATACGCCGCTTCATTGTTTTTTCTGCAAGTACAAAGAACGCCCCATCCCCCAACACAACTACGCAAGAGATACCGGGATAACAAATGACCGCAAACATTAAAGAACGGGCACTGTTTGCGTGATATAGTTCGGGTGAACTACTTAACTACGATGCAGAAGACCTGAAAATAAAAATATCAGCATGAAAAGTTACGTTGCGTTCGGATTCTTGTATTTAGTGCATCAAAATGTATCCGTTATTATTGTCTACTTTTTGTAATATCGCATTTCTCTAGAAATGGATAATAAAATTATCTTAAATA